GAAGCCAGCAGCCGCCTGAACTTGCAAATCGGTTGATGCGCTAGTTTGCAGTTTCCTAACCCAAAGGGGCCCCCGACCAGCTGCGGGGTAGCTAAGGGAGCCCTCCTGTGCAGTTTGGAGGCTGGGGATGGCGCTCCAGAGACCCCAAGAGCAGGCAGGGGTGTGCGTGGGTCTTCACTGAGCAGCTGTCCGTGAATAAGTCTCAAAACCTGCCAGATGTTTGGAAGTCCAGCTTGTTGCTCATAGAAGGATGAAACGGGTTGAGAAAACGGATCTTTTCTCCAGCCTTCGCAACAGGATTGCCCCTGCCTTCCCGAGGTGGCTCACTGCGGGGTGGGCAAGAATGTGATTCTCCCAAACTCCTCATCGGGGGGTCGGGGTGGAGGGTGGAGGTGTCTCTGCCCCTTTCGGCCTTTCTCTCGTACGTTAGAAAATCCAGAAATTAACCACTTTGGGGATGCTTGGAAGGTAAACAGGGAAACCCTGAGATGGCGGGGTGTGGTGTCGGTGAGGACCCCAAGCCCGGATGATCCAGAAGCCTTGTGGGCGGCACCCTGGCCGGCGTGTAAACCCCGCAGGGAGGCACCGTGCGCTTGGCCCTGGGGGCAGCGGGGGTGCCCGGCAGGGGGCTCGAGAGCCCTTGTGCCTGATGGGGTATGACACTCGGGGGCCCTTCAAGGGCCCTGACACTTTGATGGGGACACAACTCAGTGCCTCCAGAGACCCTGGGACCCCAGAGAAGGCAGCCGAGGGTGGAGGAGCTTTTCCCTGGGGTCGGACTGCAGCGAGCCCGGATTTGAGCTGTTGGGTGTCATGATTTGGATTTGGATTTGAGTGTCCCTGCTTTGTAGATTTTTTAAAAAAAATTTTTTTAAGATTTTATTTATTTATTCATGAGAGACACACAGAGAGAGGACGAGACACAGGCAGAGGGAGAAGCAGGCTCCATGCAGGGAGCCCGATGCAGGACTCGATCCCGGGTCTCCAGGATCAGGCCCTGGGCCGAAGGTGGTGCTAAACCTCTGAGCCACCTGGGCTGCCCCCCTCCTTTTTTTTTGCTTTGTAGAATTTTAACCTGTTGTAAAAGTTCATGTTTGTAGATACACTCACTGCCCGATGTGGAAAGATACTCTTAACCGTGTTTAAGGGAGAGGAAAATGGGCATCCCCCCCCCCCGACGGTTCCACCGCCCCCGCCGCCCGTTTAAAGGAAGAGCTTGTAGAGACCTCCTGGAGGCAGCGTCTATGCTGCCCACTTGAATGTTTGGCACGTTCCGGGCCAAGGGTGTGTGTGTGTGCGCGCGTGTGTGCGCGCGTGTGTATAAAGGACATTTAACTTTCATCTGCGTTTGGAAAGATTGCCCGGTTCTGTCCATGTCAGCACTTGACGAGTCAGGATCATTTTTAATTTCTTCCCTCACCGAGGCCGCCCCGAGGGACAGCCTCCGAGCCCTGTCATTCGCCGCCTGCCCCGTGCGGTCCGGACGCGCCGTGACGGTAGCGTGGCGCGCTCTTTCCATATCTTGTGAGCGATCGGGCGGCCTCCCTGCAGCTGGGGCCCCTTCCTGCGGGAGAGCCGCCCGCCTGACCTCGCCAGCCCGGCTCCCCGCCTTCTCGGCGGATTTCCCCTGTTCCGTGTCCTCACAGCACCTCCTTCCCCGGGTCTGGCCTGGCCCCTGCAGGCAGAGCGGCCGCGATGGATGCCCCAGGGACAGACCTCCCCGTGTCCAGGCTGCGGCTGGCCCGGGCTGCTGGGGGCCGAGCCACTCCCACAGGCCCTCTTGTCCCCCCACCCCACCCACCCCCCGGAAGTCTGTGGCCAGCCCGGGCCTTTCCAGGTCTTTCTGGCACACAGATCACCGTGGAGCTTTCCCGGGGGTGAGAAGGGATTTGGGGGAGTTGCAGAGTCAGTGCTGTCTGTCGCCCTGGCACAGCGCTCCTTCCCCGGGTCCCCCTGCTGGCAGGCTCTCGTAGACACTAGGCCTGTCAAGAAAAGGCTGGCCGTCCCTGCCTTGGGGGAATTACAGCTTCCCCCACTCGGGGGTTGGAGACACGGAAGGAAAAACAAACAAGCGAACAAGAGTAAGCTATAGGGTAACCTGGATTTCCCTGGGCGGCCCAGCCACGAGGGCTCTCGGCAACCCTGGGGGAGCCTCCCTGCTGCCTCTGCCTCCGCTGTGCATGACGCTGGTCAAAGTCAAGGGGCTCACCAAGCCTCAGCGTTCTCTTTTTTGAAATGAGACTCATCTTGGGGCGCCTGGGGGGCTCAGCGGTTGAGCATCTGCCTTCAGCCCAGGGTGTGATCCTGGAGTCCTGGGATCGAGTCCCGCATCGGGTTCCCTGCATGGAGCCTGCTTCTCCCTCCTCTGCCCGTGTCTCTGCCTCTCTCTCTGTGTCTCTCATGAATAAACAAATACAATCTTTTTTAAAAAATAAAATAAAATGGGACTCGTGTTGCCTGTTCCGTAGGATTGGCTGTGGGCTGTGGGAGAGACACCACAAGCAGCACTGGACAGGATCCCAAACCCAAAATAACTTCTCTGCTTCCCTCGCTTGGAGGATGGTGCCCTTCCCGATAAGACCAGGAGCCTTCCCAGTTGTGGACGATGCTGTACAAGCAGCCGGGGGACGGCCCCTCCTGACGGGAGCAGATCTGGCCATGGGAACGGACCTCCCCCACCCCTAATTTTCATTGTGCTTATTTATTTTCATCTTTTCAAACGTGCTCAGTATTCAAGTAGCAGTCTGTCTCAGGGCCTGAGGCTAAAGGAAGTGTTCACGTGATGAAGGTTGACTTCAGAGGGTATTCTGGTTGCTTGGTTTTTGTTCTAATTCCGTACTTTCAGAAACTGATAGTTGTGGTTTCGTGCTAACATGTGTGAGCCCAGACCACCGCGGTATGTGATCCATCTGTACAGCCTTGGTGCCCGGGTCCTTGCTGAGTTTGAAAAGTAGAGCAACATTGGTTCAGGGTGTAATTCAAAATTATAGCTTGCGTTTGGTTGCTATTGAGTAAATTCTCCTTATGCATCAGTTTAACCAACAATTGAGAGAGTGCCCACCTGGTTTAACACCCTATGGGTTGTTTCTTTTTTCCCATGAGGTTTTTACTTTGGTTTGACTCAGTCTTGCAGTTTTGCTTCTGCCCATGATACACTTCTGCATATGTTGGTTTCATTTTGCATGAAAATAACTCAGCGTTGCTTTGGAAGATAGTTTTAAGCATTTCAACCCATCCTGAGGTCTTATTAAGGGCTCCTTCTACTCCTGGCTTCTCCCCATGCTTGGCCCCAGACAGACACACGGGTCACTCTTCCCAGGGCTTTCCCAGGTTCTGTCAGGGGATTGCAAGAGGTGGACTCGTGTCATAAGTTACTCTTACAAAAAGCAGTTCCCCTTACCTCTGATGATCAGCTCTTGCCCAACAGTCAGTCCCTCCCTCACCTTCTCGCCATTTGCTTCGTGTTGCACTGGCCTCTGCTGCCCTCTGGGAATTCCATGACTCTGTTTCCCACCTGATCCCCAGTTAATTTTTTTTGTGGATTGTTTGGAATTTTTTTGTGTAGGTCATCATATCATCCAAGAACACAGAAGTCCTATTTATTTTTTCTTTCCCATTTCTGGGTATTTTGTTTCTTTTTTCTTGCCTTGTTACCTTGACCAGGGCTTCCAGTACAATATTAAATGCGAGTGGTGAGAGTGGACATCCTTGCCTTGTTCCCAGTACGAGTGGGGAAGCATTCACTCTTCCACCACTAAAGGTAACATTAGCTGTAGATTTGCCCAAGTAGACTTAAAATTCCTTTAGTATTAGAAGAACTATTTCTTCTGCTTCTTTGGCTTCAAGCCTACTTCTCAGGTCAGCTTTTTAATTAGTGCCACAATTTGCTAAAATTATGTGCCGTAGCGTATTGTCTTTGGTTTAAAATATCCAGCCTGGCCATGACTAAGATAAGAGCTATTCTATTTTGGTAGAAAACACCATGCACCTCATTAGCCATTTAAAGATAGTGGAGATTGAAACATCTAGCAGTGCAGATGCACAGCGAGAACCAAGCAGAGGTGTGCCGCTGCCCTACTGGCCACTCGTATAAGAACCAGAGGGTCGTGTCTACCAACCGAGGCATGGATAGACAGAGCATGGTGTATGGTGTGTGGAAAAGGGAATAGGGAATAGTATTTGTCCACAGAAAGGAATGAAAAACTGGTATATGTTACAACATGGGTGAACCTTAAAAAAAAAAAAAACAAACCCTAAATAAAAGCGAACAAGTCACAAAAAGGCCACATTTATAGGATCCCACTTTTATGAAATGCCTGGAATAGGCAAATCCGTGGACAGGGGGTTGCCAGAGGACGGGGTGGGGGGTGGGGAGAGGATGGGCTGGGGAGCTGATGAACTAATGGGCACGGGGTTTCTGCTGGTTTGATGAAAATGCTCTAAATTTAGGTGATGGCAATGGTTGTAAAACTCTGTGGTTATGCTAAAAAACCACTGGATTATGCACAGGTGGACTTGATGGTATGTAAAGTCTATCTTAACAAGATGTTAAAAACGAAGATGACATAAATGCTAAATTGTTGAGTAATGAGCAGGCTGGATGATAATTCCTGAGCTGGAAAAGCGGGGTGAGGGGCCATCCCATGCAGGTGTGAAGAGGTGGTGTCTGGGGAGGGGGGTGAGGCCACTGCCATGGGGGTGGGGGGGCGGCCTGGGGGCTAGACACCCAGTACTTCTGATCGCGGTCATCTCCCAAGCACCCCCATCACCGATGACCAGAAATTACAGGAGAGGTTGGGGCAGGACACTTCTGAAAGCTGATGACTGCAGCAAAAAGTTATCACCATGTAGATAAAAAGGCGTCAAGAAGACCCCAACAACCAAGCAAAAATGAGCACGATCAACTCGTGCTGTAGAGAAAGAAGTGGCTAGAATCAGCAACTCCCACCTGGTAACCAGAAAACTAATCCTTTCTCCTTTTCTCCCCTTTTCTTTTTCAGACGATAGCCTTCGTTTCCCCTTGGTGAGTACAAGACTTTTTAAAATAATTTTTACTTCCCCTGACATAAAGTTAGCTAACAGCAACAACAAAAAAGAGAGTGTGTGGGATTTAATTGTTAGAGAAACTATTTCTGGAGAAAGTAGACCGATAGGGCTAGCATGTTGTATTTGAATTTTATGCCTTGACTTGCTGGAACAGGCTTGTATCAATCACAGTTTTTGTTACGTCGTTTTGTGTGTTTTGTGTGTGCGTGTTTACAACCTGGCTCGGCTGTTCGGCCTCCTGAACCATATTGTTGAGACCACGATTTCCACACGCTCTCCTCTTGCTGATTTGTCCTTAGTATGGAAAAGGCCTTGCTTTATCTGGCTGCACGCGTAGGGTGACTGTTGGGGACCACGGGGGCACATAATTGCATTGACGGTAATTGCCTCTGAAATTGATCTGCTGTGGGGAAAATTGCTGAAAAGGAGCTTTTCTGGATTGCGCTCTGGGTTAAAAAAACACAATGCCAACAACATCAATAACCGTGTCATCGCCAGGTAATTTTATGCCTTTTGAGATCTAGGCAGCTTTCCAAGGTCTCGATGTCCCAGTCCTCAGAAAAAGACACGCCGTGGCCTTTTTGTGTTTCACTTAATCGGCTTACTGGTATTAAGTTCCCTAAAGAAATCGAGGGAAGAGAATCTGAGAGCTTTGGGAAGTGGTTGTAGTATGTGGGCAAGTGGCTCTGGGTGTTCACCACCATCAGTGAGCGTCCCAGGATGTGGGTGGCCAGGAAGTCGTGTTTTTTTATGTGCATCATCTTGTTTGAAATACTTTAACTCTGTCCGGAATTATTTTAAGGTCAGTGGGTCGGCTGTTTTGCTTTGGCTGGCCCCCTTTGTGGGTCTCGTGGCAATGTTTCATCTGGGGCGTGAATGCTGATGGCCTTGCTGGTGTGATAAAAGGCATTTGGGTTGTACGGACTGTTGCTCCCTGTCTCGGAGGAAATGCAAATATAGTTAGCGATTTGTCAAGGGAGAGAATGGGAAAGGCTCCACCTGCCACCCACTGAGCTAATTGTAGTGTCCCAGTTCTCTATTGTATCGTTGTTGGATATTATCGATATTGAACGGCATGATCTACTTGAGCAAATGCAAGTGTCAGCAGTGGGCTCCAAGAGAAGGAATATTACTGGGGTGATATTACTGGATGGAGACTTACGGTCAAGAAGTCTGCAATCCCTCGTTGCCTCGGCATCCTAAGCAGGAGGTTTTGGCTCATCCATATTGGTTTGGATGGGTCTTCAACATGCTACTTACACAGAGCAGTGGCTCCCTACCTCATCGGAATGAAACATTGGAGGGTCCTGCCCCACATACTCACCTCCTTCCCAAAATACAAGATCCAGGTTATGATTTGTTAAAAGCATCTGCCCTTGGCCTTCTATCTCCGCCCAGTGCTGGCCCTCCACACCCTATCTTGCCATTGCCTGTTCTAGGGTTTCTGTCCTTTTGGCAAGTTGGCCCGCTGCCTGGCCATGTCGCTCAGCCTGGTGCCATCTTTCATCCTCCTTTCATTAGGAAAGTCAAGGTGGCTTTCAGAAGCTGTGAGTTCGTAGGTAAAAAGTGCTTCTTGTTTCAGGAATTTTCTCTCCATGTGACGCAAGGCTGTTCCAAGCATGACCCGTTCCTGTGGAGGCTACCTTATTTGATGCCTCTGTTTGGAATCTGCTGCTAGGGCGTCAGGGGAGAATGTCAGACTGATATTTCAGCCTGTGGCAGCTTCACTGCTAAACATTTGAGTCTTCTTCCAGAATTTCAAGATTTCAGCTAATAGAAGGGAATTTATTTCCCATTTTTGTGGTGGTGGTGGTGGGGGGGTGGTTAGAAACTTGCTTTGGAGTCAGTTAGAACTAAATAAATAGCTCACTTTGGGCAGGGCAGGAGAGAGTAAGCCCACTAAGGTTGGTGGCTATTCCAAGCTGCCTCTACAGGCAGTGGGCGGCTGCAGGGCAGGAGCCCTGTAGATGCCTTCTGGGCGAACACAGGAACCCACTGTGTTCTGGGGGGCCTGCCCTGCTATCAGCAGGCCGTCCCTTCCCAGGGCCACTGTGTTGTGTAAGTGAGCTCACCCCGACTTGGCGGTTAATAAAATTCTTGAGGGACACTCAGGGGGCTCAGCGGTTGAGCATCCACCTTCGGCCCAGGTCGTGATCCCTTCCTGGGATCGAGTCCCACATTGGGCTCCCTGCAGGGAGCCTGCTTCTCTCCCTGCCTATGTCTCTGCCTCTCTCTCTGTGTCTCTCACGAATAAATAAATATAATCTTTAAAAAAAATAAAATAAAATTCTTGAAATTAACATCCGCACAAAATTACGGCAGTTGTTTCTGTTTAAGGAAGTCTTTTAGCTGGGTAATGATGTATGTGCCATTACTGTCATGGAGATCCAAAGGAGTTCTCTTTTCTAGCAATAGTCTCTGATTTTTCATTTAAAAAAGGGCACTTAGGGGCACCTGGGTGGCTCAGTCAGTTGGGCATCTGACTCTTGACTCAGGTCGTGATCTCATGGGCTCTGCACTCAGCCCGGAGTTGGCTCGGGATTCTCTCTCCCTCTCTCTCCCCTTGTACACTTCCCGCCACCATGCTTTCTCTTTCTCTTTCACACACACACACTCTCTCTCTCTCTCCCTCAAATAAATAAAATCTTTAAAAAAAAAAAGGGGGCCACCCTCTATAAATATTTGGTCTTAAAAAAAGAGAGTCAACTTTCTCCTGTTTAACTGGATTAAGAGGGGCCTTTTTAGCATGACCACCATTCCCATGGTTTTCTTTTATTTCTGCTTTTTGTAACATGTAAAAACACACTTGGAAAGTGACACTATAATTCACATCAACCATCAAACATGACCAACGTTCCCTCAACCAGAGAATGCTTGCAACTCTGTGGGTCTCGGTTGCACAGTATTTAAATAATGCAGTGGAATGTCGGCGTTAAGAATTTATGCAAGACATGTAATTAAGGTTTAAATATTGTTTCCGGGCTCTTTGAGGTCTTATATTGCTATACCAAAGGGTATCCACCAGTAAGTAAAATTAAATGATACCGTAACTTGACTATTTCACTTTGGCTTGTGGAAATACCAAAGGAATAAAAGGCAACGAAATTAACGTGCCGGTATTAACAGTGAATTTAATTTTAAAATTAACTTGGAATATTCCTTCACTAGCTGTCTCCCCTTTAATGATCCATCATGCCTCCCCTGTCCGTTTCCATATGTGTGATTTTTTTCTCTTCTAAGTCGTGTTTCTTTTCCTTGGTGTGGAGTCGAATGGCCGCCACGGCGGGAAAAGACAAGAAGAATCCGAAGGTCTCTAAATGTTTGCGGGCAGAACGCACCACTTGGCACGTGCTTTCTGCCCGTCTCAGCTGGGCCTGCGTTTCTGCAGGTGGAACAGACCTTCCCATGCTGGCTTCTGCATCTGCGGAAAGGAAACGAGAAACTTCATGGATGATGTGCAGAGCGTGGAAGGCTTGAAACCTTTTTCAAATATTTGATTCCTGTTTCCTGTTTTTGCCCTGTTCTTGGGTTTTTATTTGCATCTGTGGGTCCTCTGGGTTTCCCATCAAGCGAACCGTGTTTCTCCCAGCAGCAAAGGAGCTATTCTCCTGTAAACTGAAACTGGAAGCTGACAGTAAGTTGGAAGGATGCCTTTGGACCTGCTGGTGACAAACGGATTAATCCCTCATTTATTTCCACTTCCATTTTCCCCCCCAGGAAAGTTTCAACGTTCTTCCAAGAAGTACCTCCTAAAAGAGTCTACTAGGTAATCGTTTGTCATAGAGCAAAGCCATGGATATTAAGCTGTCACAGTTTCCACTTGGAGGAAATAGGAACACAGCTTTTCTATATAAACTCCTGGCTCAGCCCTGAGCTCCTGCGGACTCAGTGCAGGGCTGGGATTCTTCGAGAAATCCTTTTCCAGCTCATAGGAAAACATGGATTCTCGCAGGCCACGATGGCTTCCCGGGGTCATTCCAGGAGGACAAGAGGTAAAGGGAAGCTGCAAGGGGGAATCTTTCTCATCGCTTTGGATTTTAGGTCGCGGCTGTTTGAAATATAATTCCCAAGGCATTTTAAAACTTCGGTTCAAGGAAGCAGTCATTAAGTGAAAATCTGGCAAGCACCGCAGGTAGCTTGGTCCAGCCCTGTGCAGGAAATCTGGGATTTATGCTTCAGGAAACTGTTTTAATCCACTGCAGCCTGGCCAAGTGGTGTATGGGGATAGTGGACAGGGCGGGAGGGTGGTCTGGCTGCCAGCAATCCAAGGTGAGGTCCACCTTTTAGGAAAACAACCCCCAATTATTGTTGACTGGATGACACATCAAAATCCCACCCATTTTAAGTCGGACATTTCCTCTTTTTATAATCGAACCCACCCTCTTAACTTTCTGTATTAGCTAGATTTGCCAAAGTGGCATTTTAGTTAGAAGTGACTTGGGGAGAACCTGGGAAGCAGGTGCTGCCCAGTGGAAGGAACGTGAACCAGTCCCCATTCGATGCGGGCCCTCGCCCCACCTGCAGTCTATCAACCGGGCGATGTCCTCATGTGACTCAGGACACTGAGCAACAGGAGGATGAATCCATTCTGTTCAAAATTGCCCATGCAAGGTGACTTTTTTAAGCAGCTTATTATGATACAGAGTTTGGTATAAGATACTTAAAATGTTGGAAAAGAAAAGATCTCTGTGGAATTGCTGAACAAAGATATGTCTCTGTGTAGCTTTTCTTCTTGTTTTGAATGAAAATGAGCATAAGCAAAAAAAGAAATTGGATTCGTGTTATTTTGTGAGGGGGTGCTGATTGGATTCTAATAAGTTTAAAAAATATAGGTTGATGGTGTTTAAATGATTTCACATACCTCTACCAAGATTGGTTTGCTATCAGAAATGAGAATACATTTATTTTTATTTTAATTTTTTTTTATAAAAATACATTTAAAGCCACCAGGTTACCCTGCTGCTGCTGAGAGATGAA